TTTATTTGGCTTACACTTCCACTGTTCATCATTTAGGCAAGGTAGGACAGGAATTCAAAACAAAAATCTGGAGGCAGGAACTGAAGCAGAGACCTCAGAGGAATGCTGCTTACTGGCTTGCTCCCCACGGCTTGTTCAGCTGCGTTTTTTTGTAGAACCTAGGACCACCTGCCCAACCAGATGTGGCATTGACCACAGTGGGATGGGCATTCTCAAATCAATCATTGATTAATAAAATATCCCACAGATAAAATGATTCCTAATGACATTCTGCTGTACTTATAGATCAGTGCCCTGTTCAGTCCTCATCGGAGAAGCTTCCTCCTGCAGCAGAGGGGAACAAATACAGAGGCCCACAGCCAGACATCATGGAGAGAGTGGGAGACCTTGCAACACTTAGCCTTAGTTGGGCTGTCTCTATCAAAACCTTTCTCTCAGGGCTCAGGGAATCCCTCCAAAGAGGAGGTAGAAAGAGTATAATAGCCAGAAGGGATGGAGGACACCAACAAGACCAGATCTTCTGGAGCAACACGATCAAGGCTCATATGAACTCACAGAAACTGAGGCAGCAAGCACAGGGCCTGTATGGGTCTGCACCAGGTCTTCTCTGTATATATTATAGCTTCCAGTTCAGTGTTTTTATGAGATTCCTGAGTGTGTGAATGAGTGGTTATTTCTTCTGCCCTTCCCTTCCAGCTGGTTGTTGGCCTTTAAAAGCAATTTTGAAAACTGAGTTTCTAGTTGCTGTAAGAGTGATGAGCCAGAGTACTTCCAGCTCATGAGACTCTGGTTCAACGGAAAATGATGTTGGATTTGAACTAATGAGCAGGTAGTTTGGTCTGTGCTGTTCTTGCATTCACATCTCAGTCCTAACTAAAGATCCTGGTGTCATCCTGGGCCTTTCAGGGAGGTGTTTAATAAAGGCTTAATAAATGAGTTGTCTTGTCCAACTCTAATGTGATAATTTTTGTCTTATCTCATATTCTATGTTGTAATATTTTATTATTTCTTAGACGTCTATTCTTTTCTAATGAGAGACAGAAAGGGAGTGGATCTGTAGGGGAGGGGATGTGGGGAGAAATTGGGAGGAGGAGAAGGAGGGGAAATCTTAATCAGAATATATTATGTGAAAAAGGATCTATTTTCAATAAAAAGAAAACCGGAAATACCCCACAGACTTGAAGGGCACTCTGATGGATGTGATTTCTCAGCTAAGGTTCCCTCTTCTCAGGTGTGTCCAAGTTGTGTGAAGTTGGCAAAAGCTAAGCAGCACAGAGTCTAAAGTACTGAGACTTGGGGTTTCCTAAATTCACCCAATCTAAAACTGGACGCAGCTCATCTTTGCCTTGTCTTAAAGCACATCCTCCCTCTTTTGTTTTCTTGGCTTTTCCTGGACTATAAGGATGTACTGTCTTTCTTGTTTTTTTTTTTTTGTTTTGTTTTGTTTTCTTGTTTGTTTTTCTTCAGATTTCCTCCCTCATCTCTCCCTCAAGTATTCTTCTTCCCTGTATACTGTGTTCTCTAAATTCATTGTCTATTGGAGTTCAGAAAAATGGCTAATTCCAGGTCTGGGGCAGGAAAACATATAATAAAGCTCAATATGTCCTGCATATTGATAAATAGAGAAACTACTGAAGACTATTGGAGTTAAATAAAGCAAACAAAACAAAACAACCCACAGAACTCAGTTTGAAAGCACTGACTCTGATAAGATTTGGGGTAATAATGAAGCAATAATAATTATATCAGATTAAAACAAAACATATATGTTAAAATCCACATATTATGACAGTATTCCCTGTGCCCAATGGACCTTTTCCAAGGATATTAGGAAACTAGATCATTGTGAGAACTGATATACAAAAGAACTGTATTTAGACTCTATAAAGAGCTACTGTGGTAAAATTCTTTTCTAGAGAAAAGCACCAGGCAATAAATTTGCAAGGAATAACAAAATGTCAACATTTCAAAATTTATAATTAGATAATGGACTGAGGAAATGATAATAAATTGTGTCTAAAAAATTAAGTCAACAACAACTAACTCCGTATATTCATCTATTGTCATTAAAAGAGAAATACCAGATACAGTCTGCCTTATGACAGCCACTAGCCATGTGGTGGCTGTGGACTGTCTGAAAGGTTAAACTCTTAAATGTTACACTGTCATTTTAAAGACCAATTGAAGAAAGTAAACTATATCATTGTTGTTTGGGAATATTGATTAATATTGAAACATTAAATTTTGGACACACTTAGGTACACAAAATATCAAACTAAAATTTTCCCTCTTATTTTGTTTTACTTTTGGGAAGTATAGCTTGTGGAAAATTAAAATGATATGTATTGCTTGGATTATACTTCTGGTTGTTCATGACTGGATGGATCTTCAGTGGCCAGAACATTGCTTAAAACTCTGCAGGTATCAAATAGCTCTTTGCTGTGTAAATGAATGGAATCATTAGCACATAAAGGAGTGTTTAATCATTTACATGATTTCATGTACTGAGCAGTCCAGATCTACTGAGGAGGGTGCAGTGGTGAGTGTGAGTGGTGAAGATCAAGAGGGTCAGGGAGGCTTGAAGGACAACATGGGGAATAGACACCACTGGTGTCTGGGGCTGTTCATCCCTTAGTATGATGTAAATGGCAACAAAAAACCTCCATTCAATCCTCTTTCTTTCTTTACTCATCTTTTCCATCAATTTCCTTGAAGCTTTTGGACTTTTACTATTTATTTTGTTTTCTATTTGGCTTTAAAACTCTGTTGAGTCAACAGCTAAAAATAGAGCATTTAACTTGGAATGACAAGAAAAATTGCAACTAAATAAGTCAATGAATTTGAGGTTTACTTAGCATATTATAATTGTACAAAATAATGGCTGCCATGATATTTTCATACATGCATAAAACAGGCTTTGAATACGTTCACTCCCTCGTCATCATTTTCGCTCTGCCTAGGTTACTTTTCCCCCTAATACTCTCAATTTTGTGACCCTTTCCTCCCATGTTATGCACAAGAAGGAAAATATTTTAATGGGGGGGCACTATTGGCTGAATATTTATGGTCATATGTTGGAATATTACCCCCTTGTAATAGCAGCAGCAGCAGCAGCAGGGAGAATTGGGAGAAGACTAGGTTTGGAACACAGAGTGCTTATGTTGAAGTCTGCCCTTTATGAAAAGACTCCAAAGATCTCCATTTCCTCCTTTATCATAGCAATAAGATAGGCTTCCAAGACTGCTTTGCTTCATGATGATGTCTAGTTTTACCCATTTTCCTGCAAATGACACACTTTCATTCTTATTTGTGGTTGAATAATATTCCATTTAAAATATTTATATCATATTTCATTTCTTCATTCTTTGATGGGCAAATAGACCATTTTCATAACTTGGTTATTGTGAATAGTGTCACAGTAAACATGAGTGTTCAGGTATACAATAGAGATTGTATTTTGCCTGGATTCTGTTTATAAGATTTTTTTTTCCTGAGAATTTCATACATGAATATTGTATTTACATCATTTTCACTGAACATTCTATTCCTTCCATGTTTCCTCAACTCCACAACCTCTTAATATATATATATATATATATATATATATATATATAATGTTGTAGAATAATCTTTTGTACACTAAGTTGTGTCTTTGCTAAGGTGCCTTCTGATGGATTTAATAAAGAGCTGAATGGCTAATAACTAGACAGGAAGAGGTTAGGCAGGACTTCCAGGCAGAGAGAGAAGAAGGGGCGATGAATCTAGGTAGGAGAAAGATGCCAGAAGACACAGAGAAAATCCAGGAGGTGCAAGATGGGAGAGAGATAAAAAACCATCAGGCAAAACATAGATTAATACACATGGGTTAATTTAAGTTATAAGAGCTAGTGGGACAAGCCTAAGGTATAGGTTGAGCTTCTATAATCAATTATATGTCTCTGTGTCATTTTCTGTGAGCTGGTGGCACAAAGAAAAATATCTATCTACAGTTACATATATTTGTGTATGTGTATGTGCTATCTGTCTATATCTACATCTATACCTGCTGAGTCTATTTGTTGTTACCCATATGTATATCTAGTTAGGGATGTAAAATTGGGTTGGGTAACCTATCAGGAACATGTTATTGGAGAGGACTAACTCTCTTCTTAGCAGCCATTAGTATCTCTTCATCTAGGAATGGAACCTTGGGAGATTTCACCCATCCATGTTGGGATGTCAACTGTAAGTCAGCCCCAGTTAAATGCTTTCTTTTATAAGAGTTGTTGTGGTCATGGTGCCTCTTCATAGAAATAGAAACCTAACTAAGAACAGTTACTCACATCAGCTTTGTGCCACTATTTCACTACTACGTATTGGAGGCAGGTCCTATTTTAGATAGAAGGTTTTGTAGCTGGATTAGTGTTTACCTTTCTCCTTTGATATCCAGAGTACTTTCCAGCACCATGAACACTAGTCAGTAGGGGTGAGTCTCTACATAGAGACCAGATCAGTTTTCCCATGTTCAATGAGTTTCATAGGTGTTACCTTCAGTAATAGGGCCTTATTATAAATTTGTGGAAAGCAACCAATAGCCTTGGCAATAGCTTAGGCTGTTTCATTCCCCTTTGGCTAACAACTTGATTAGATGTAACCCACTTTGGGAATTCAAGGTTATTAGAAGTCTTTTAAACCCCAAGCATCTAGAATATTTTTTTAGTTTCTTGATAATATGAAAAGGAAATGTCAATTTCACTATAAAAACATGAGCATGTTTAAAACTGACCTAAGAAGTAAACATAAGCAAAATACTCAGGAGCATGGAGTTAGAAACCAGAAAATGTTTGAGAAAGGAGCCAAGAGGTGAAGAAATGAGTGAAGATCGTGTATGACCAAGCACATTTAGCGAACACTAATCGACCTCTTTTGAGTTCTTTATAGAGTGGCTTCTTGACAATTTGTACTCTGGAATTCATAAAATACAATGCAATACTTGCAATACAAATACAAAATTTTATTTACAAAAACTTTGTGTTACCAATCTTCTTGGTTTCCTGCAGAGCTCTTTCTCTCTTACATGACAAACATCAAAAGTTTTGCTTGGAAATCAACAGTATAATTAACTGGTCCTCAGTGTTGGTATTTATATTTCATTTACAAGAAAATAATTTTTATTTTAATAAGAGTCTTTAAATACAGTTTTCCCTTGTCATAAGACACACCAATATCAAATTATTGGTGAGAGAGGCAATTTGAATTGCCTTAAATTTTACTCAGATGTTCATAGGTACTGGTGGTTGGGAGAGCTCATGTCTCCTGTCTTTATCTACTTCCACCATATTCACATTCAAGAAAACAATTATATCTGAGGAAATAACTGGCAACTTGACTGTAGAGGTTACAATATAGGTAGAGTAAGCTGTTCTGATGTTTAGCTGCTTGGATTTAAATTTGGTGCATGTCATTTGATTTCCTTATGATTCTGGGCAAATTATTTTCTTGCCCTGAGACTTAACCTCATCTATAAAACTGATAAAGTGATAATATTTATCTCATAAGTTTATGTAAGCAATTCAGCAAGTTAACGTCTGTTTGATGTTGAGATTAGTGAAGGACTTTGGTGTTTAATGAGTATTGGGTATTATTCTTGACAAACGATAGTAGAATGTGTGTGGACTTTTCCCTGGTTAGTCTCAGGTAAAATTCATTTGTTCCTGTCATATGATAATACATTTAGAAGCAGTTTTAAACTTGATTTAAATCAGGTATGATTCACATTACAAATGTTGGCTAAGCATTTAGTCATAGTGTTCTAAATTATTATATAGAATTGAAAGATAGAATAAGACATCTGGATTATCATAACATGAAAGTGTTATAAGTTATTAAAAATCATCTACTTCAAGAGATAAATATTTGAAATAAATTTTCTCTATGAATTTGTGAACTAAATGTGTGGAACTACATTCTGTTAGAGGAAGTCATCCTAAACAAAGAAGATAATAAATAGTGAAAAATCAAAGCTCATTGTGCACAATCACTCTTTTTATGAGCAAAACAATTGGATATAGCTACCCTACTGTGCTCTGTACCTGAGGGATACCTAGGATTACTCAGATGAGTTGAAGTTGGCCAGTGTGCTGATGAGTTTTATGTCAGCTTAATACAAGCAAGAGTCATCTGGTGTGAGGGAGCCTCAACTGAGAAAATGCCTCCATAAGATTTGGCTGCTAGCAAGAGTGTAGGACATTTTCTTATTTAGTGAGTGATGTGGGAGAGCCTAGTTCATCATGGATGGGGCCACCCCTGGGCTGGTGGTCCTGTTCTATAAGAAAGCAGGCTGCGCAAGCCACAGGGAGCAAGCCAATGAGCAGCACCCCACCATGGCCTCTAAATGTTCTTTACTGTGGTTGCTGACTATTTGGACTCCTGTTCTAATGTTCTTTGATGATGAGTGGTGTTATGGAAGTGTAATCCAAATAAACCCTTTTTTCCTCAAGCTGCTTTGGTCATGTAGTTTTATCACAGCAATAGTAACCCTAACTAAGCCTAAAATAAAGGTCATTTGTTCACACTGTGCAGACCTCAAGGGCCAGGATTCAAGTACAGTTGTTGCCCTGTCCTTCAACCTTTCCCACGTCTATATGTAATTCATGATTCATAGAGATGTCCTACACTGAGGCAAGAGACCCAGGGTTTTCAACTCTGTTGATCACTTTTTGGGTGAAAACTGTCATCAGGGAAGAAATGGCCTTTGAAGACAAACTCCATTGTAAGATTTATTATTATTATTATTATTATTATTATTATTATTATTTTATTATTAATTTTTTGTATGTATGTGCACATGCATGTGAGTGCCTGTGTCTTCACAGGCCAGAGGATCCCTGGACCTAGAATTATGAGGTTGTATGTAACTCAGGTTGTCTGCAAGAGCATGGCATTCTCTTAACCACTGCGCCCCTCTCTAGCCGCAGACAAGCTCCGTTTGACAAAGAGCAGTTTAAAAGAGACAGTAAGTGTGGAGAGGAGTTGTTGAGAGCCTTCTGAAGCTTGTCCCCACCTCTGTTAGCACTAGGTACTCTGTAGGCACCTATATTTCTTTGGGGAATTAGGAGTTATTTAGTTTTTGGGCTAGGGGTACCCACAGTAGAGTGCTTACCTAACACTTCTAAAGCCCCTGATTCAGTCCCCAGCACCTCACACCCATATTGACTAGAAGAAGAAAAGAATAATACTTCAAAAATTTTATTTATTTACTTATTTTCTCTGGTTTTCTGAGATAGGATTTCTCTGTGTAGCTCTGGTTGTCCTGGAACTCCCCCCTCTTTCTCTGTAGCTCAGGCTAACCTTGAACTCACAGAGCTCCACCTGCCTCTGCCTTCAGAGTGCTGAGATTAAAGACATACACCATCACCACCTGACCAATGAAACTTTTAAATGACAGTAGAATTAAAAAAAAATGAGGTTAAAAAAAATAAAAGACAGGAATCAAGGTAAGTGGGGCTTTTGAGATCAAGCTGTTCAGGGAGTGACATGATACATAAAGGCTGTAGATGCAGATGCAAAATAAAGTCTTGACCAGGATCATCAGTGTTTACTAAACTTAAGTCAGGATGCCAGCCAGAATGACATGCTAAAGGATACTTTCCCAAACACCCTTGCTTCATCTCAGAACAAGACTTTGTTAAGGTAGCAAATTCTATCAGCTCATTGTTATCAATAAACATAATTCTGTGTGGAAAGAGAATGGCTACAAACTAAATAGCATTTATAAAATATAACAAACTTTAGAACTAGAAGCATCCTTCAAAGCATGTGACAAACAGTAGAAAATTCTTATGCACTTTACCAAAGAAGTTAGCAGTAGCCTTTAGACTTGGGGTTTAGACCACCAGGTGTGGGTGAGGAGAGATCAACCAGCTTAACCTTGCTTGGGCAAAAACATACACAGAGCAGTTAGATGTGTAACTAAAAGTTTTCCTGGTCCTGCCAGGCTCCTCGGTCATGACAAATCTCTCTCATCTGCCAGTCCCGCAGCCAGTCAGACCCAAATAAACATACGTAGGCTAATATCAATTAAAACTGCTTGGCCATTAGCTAAGTGACTAGCTCTTACACTTAAACTCAGCCCACTTCTGTTAAATTATATGTAGCCACGTGTTCTGTGGCTTTATCTGTGTGCCATTACATGCTGCTCCCTGTATGGTGGGCTGGCGTCTCCTGACTCAGCCTTCTACTTCCCAGAATTCTCCTTTTCTGCTTATCCCGCCTCTACTTCCTGCCTGGCTACTGGCCAATCAGCATTTTATTAAACCAGTGTACAAAAGCATTATCCCATAGCATAGATGTCTGAGGGATCTTAATCAATCAGCCAGTATGAAAGCTGAGAATAGATGTGGATCAAAACATCTCTTATGTAAGTTCAGTCCTTGTCACCGTGAGCAATAGCAGCAAAATTGTGTCCCAACTTTTCTTGTCCTTATGGGGATTAGGTTCCAATGATCTTTGTCAGGGCAAATCATTGTGTTCCTCTCAATGCGACAATTTGCAGCTTGAGAACAGAAGGCAAGACTGATTTGGATGTGAAGCTATTATGAACTTACCTATTGTCCTTGGTGTAATAAGTGTACTTTACAGCCTTTGCTTCCTTTGACCTATGTCCAGGAATAGAGTTCCCTTACCTTAAAAATACTGAGGACTACAGATAAATTTAGAGTTTTGAAGGTTCAGATTTGCTTTCTTCCCCCTTTTCTTGTGGATTCTTAGAACTGAGAATTCATTCAAACAAGTCTCCTACATTGGGGTTTCCAGCTTTGATGTTGCTTGAGAAACACTGATTTGGAGATATGTTAACTCTGAGTAAAGTCACTGAATTTTCTAGTAGGAGTGTTCTGATGGTAAACCTGATAAAAGAGAAGATAGGTTGTATTTATATACTTACATGCATTTATGCGTGTGTGTGTGTGTGTGTGTGTGTGTGTGTGTGTGTGTGTGTGTGTATCAATATCAATTAAATGTTCTGAAGGTAAACCCGAGAAAAGAGAAGACAGGTTGTATTTATATACTTACATGCATTTATGCGTGTGTGTTTGTGTGTGTAACAATAACAGTTAAAGTAGAGGAGGTCAGGGATTGAAAGGGAACAGAGATGGGGTAGATGGGGTGAGTTGAAAGAACAAAAGGCAAAAGGGAATGGGAGTGAAAGGGGGAAATGATGTAATTTTATCTTAAATACAGCTACAAAATTTTTTTGATATGGGTAAAATTTAAATGCTATAAAATCTGTTTTCTTTGGAATTTGTTTAGTCGTTAACTAAAAAATATTAGTGTGAAGCCAAAGATGTAGGTGAAATAGACATGCACACCTCTTCTTGCCTCATACTCTACCTGTGGTGCATGACACAGGGAGCCAAAAAGAAACTAAACATGCAATATGTTGGGTCTTAGCCAGTGTGGAATGAAGGGAATGAATGCTTTGGAACAGAGCCTACTGTTTTAAACAATGCAGTGAGGCCTCACAGACAAGCTGGCCCTTAGGGAGGATCAGAAGAGACGAGGCTGCGAACAGCATGTGCAAAGGCCCTGAGTGAAGCATGCTCAAAGTGTGGAGAAGCCTATGCAGCTGCAGCTGGTCATACAGGGAGAGAGTACAGGGGGCAAAGCTGGAGAAGTGCTGAGTCTCCTCATATATGGACTTGAGTTGTTTTTTTGAGGACCGGCTTTTCCTTAGATTAATATAGGAAATCATTGGAGGATTGTTTTGAACAGGACAGGGCTATGATCTGGCAGACACACTTATAAAAGATAACTATGGCTACCATGTTGAGAATGTTCTGGAGCAGAGAGGGGACACCAGTCAGGAGAATCTGGCAGTTAGGAGGGGTAAGGGCGGCTTGAAGGCACTGGTAACACCTGAGCTGGTGATCCCGACACCCTCTGGGAATGTATCCGACTTGTCTCACAACTAGATCAGATAGGGAAGGTGAGTGAAGAGAGGAGCCTGGAATGACTATGAAACCTTTACCTTAAGCTGCTTAAGACAGGAGCTGCCATTTGCCGAGACAAAGACACTAGAAGGGCAGTTTGGGAAGAAGGAAGATCAGAAGTTTGGTGTGGAACATGAGTGACTGCTGCTGGTTGTCAATGTGACTTGAGATATGCTCGTGCTCTCTGTCTCTCTGTGTCTGTCTGTCTGTCTGTCTGTCTGTCTGTCTGTCTCTCTCTCTCTCTCTCTCTCTCTCTCTCTCTTGTGTGTGTGTGTGTGTGTGTGTGTGTGTGTGGGGTGAAGTTAAAAACCCTAACAACTCCAAATGGGTTGACCATTGACTTCACTTTCAATTTGGGGCATCAAAAACTTTTGTTCTTTGTATGAAAAATCGTACAAAGGATTTGGTCAATGTCTATTTGCAATAGCTAATACTTACACTTTAATGAAAAGATACATATTTTATATAAATCAAGAATATGGTTGAATGCCAGGATAAAATAAAATGTACCTTTGCTAATGAGAAGATGAGTAAGTGAAATGTTAATGATAGAATAATAATAGATCATTTCTATTGCATCATTTTAATAACACAGAAAAAACTCAGATAGTAACTTCCTTACCCGTAAATTCTCTGCAAATAATGCTTATGTCTGAAGAGTATGTCTGATCCACTTATTTACCTAGCCTCAGCTTCCAATGACAACCCACCCAGTACCATGTGGAGGCTTTGGCTGTCTAGGCTGCTGGTGTAACAGCTCTTTCAAGCAACTCCTAAGAGGTCCTCTAAGTGACAGTTATAAAGATGACAGTTCCTCAGTGAGATTACCTCACACACATTAAAAGAAAACACTTTCTCTCCCCATCCCCTCTCTTGTGAAGTGTCTAGGTTTTATTGCAATGTTTGTGCAAACATGAGTTCTATACCTCTGAGAAAGGGCAGCGACTACACACCTAATTGAAATGCCGCTCAGCCAAGGTCTGCAAATGAACTCAACTGAGGACTTCCCAGGGAGATTAAAATATGTTCATATTCTGTTTAAGAAAGCAAGAGATTTTAAGTGATCCAAATAGAAGTCTCTAGATCAGTTATATTTTGAAAATATCTAAGTGGAAATGAATATTTTACAATTACACTAGAGACCACCTGAGAAATATTTCTGTATAAGTGGATGATTAATGTGCATTTGTCTCAGCAGCTTCTAGACTTTAACCTCGGATTATCATCACATTGATAAAGCTTACAGTATAAATGTGATTTAGCCAAGTATACCCCAAAAGCAAGTGACGAAAGAAGAAGGGCATAGACCCGTTTATTCTCAGATCCTTCAAACTGGGCTTCGCGGCACATCAAGGATTGATTTTGGAAAGGAAGTCATAGGCCTGCAAGTCTGTGTGCCCTGAGGGGTCATCCAGCTCATTATGTCACCCTAGGGAGTATTAAAATCGCCAAGTGCAGAACTGCTTATAACAGGCTGATGTCCTAACTTGGGGACTTGGAGAACTCTTCTGAAGGCAGAATCTCCCTTTCAAAGATATGGCAAACAGGTCTCTCCCTCATCTCACTCTTGTGGAGTTCCCAGCAGTGGGAGTGTGTTCTGTAGGGTCGCCTGGCAATACCTCAAACCTTTAACAGAGAACTTAAACTTTGAATAATCTTTTTGCATGGTCTTCTGGTGTTCGTCAAATAATAGTCCTTTGTTTAAGGAAAATCAGATGGAAACTTGTGTATTAAGTGATTAATGTAAAAGCTCATTATTGTGTTTCCCCTGCTCCTTCACCTTTGATCTTTCAACTATGACCTTGGCTTTTGATCCATTTCCAAAGTATTAAACTTAACTGCTGTGAAGAGCCAGCCTTTATGCTAGCGGACTCTCCTGCATGGCCCTTGGCTACTCCCCATCCCTCAGGCCTCATTCCTCTATTTTGATTCTACCTGGTACTCTTCCTTTCCCTGATTTACATTGTAGCAGTGGGTAGCCAGCTTTCTCTTTCAAGGAACACCTTCAGTATCTCATTTCTTTTGATATTAAAACCATCAAAATATTCCAAACTGTGGCAAGGTTTTTACAGCTATGCTTATGGGAGGAAGCAAACAAAAAATAAAAAAATAAATAAACTGTTAGAGCAAAGGGATGATTAATAACAAAATACTCTGGAGAAAGGTTGCTAGAGCAATAATAACCAATACAAGTATAATATGTAAACAGTCATAAGTGTATTAAACTCTCACTTATGTTTAAATCTGAGCTAATAACGATATTTCAAAGGATGCTTTTTTTGGTAACCCTTAGGGACTAAATCTTTATTCTGAAAACTGAAGAATACGAATTGTTATTGAATTTCTGACATTAAGAAATGTCTTCTCAGTTTCCACCAAACACTAAAAAACATCTTTTTCTTCCATTCTTAGTATTCCAAATACATTTTATGTCTATTTCCATTGTAGCAGACTGGGTTTTTATAAGATCAGTTTTGGAACATTTACGGACTTCTTAAGTATGTATACTTCTTGTCAGTGATACACTTTAATAATAAAACTAATGGTGGTATTTAAGTGAACTAATGAAGATATTTTCTTCTTCCCCTTTCTTACTTCTCCCTCCTCTACTCTCTCTTTTTTCCTTCCTCCCTTCTCATTGTCCCTTTCCTGTTCTCTCTCTCTCTCTCTCTGACAGGACATTATGTAGTTCATCCTGGCCTTGAACCCTGAACTCCCAATGTAGCCAAGAAAGAATGACTTTGACTTTGAACATCACGTCAGACCCTCTTGTCTATACCTCATGACATGGCTTTATTTGGTGCTGGGGAAATCCAGGTATACTCTACCAGCTGAGCTACATTCTCAGCCCTGCAGACCTCTTCTTTAAAACTTTAAGCATTCGTGGTATTAGTGGATAAAATCACAGGGGCAAATGAGAGAGAGTCAAAGTTCCTGTGGTGCTAAGTCAGTGGCAGGAAATCCTCTGAAGGCCTTCATTCCAGAGGCTGCTTCAAGATATCTCAGGACCTCCCAGCATTTCATGGAGGGATGCATTTTTTTACTAAAGCTTAGAACACACTCTCTCCAAGGCATTGAATGAGTGGGTCTGAGTTTTCTTAGATTCAGGACAGTGCTGTGTACTTTCTCACTTCTGCGGAGGTCATGAATGATGCTTCTTCCTCAAGATTAAGTTTGTCTTATTATGAACCCAGATCTAAAGCCCTTCTCTCTCACCTTACTGCCTAGACTTTCCCTTACTGTTCTCCTTGCTGGTTTGAGCTCTCACATCAACAGGGATTCAAGGACAAACCTCTCCCTGGACTTACTTCTTTCTCTGGAAGGAACAGATAATACCCGCCTCTGTCCTGGCTGTGACATGTTCACTCACTTTGAGCAAACATACCCATTAAGAACACTCACTTCTGCAGATGCTTACAAACTGTATGGCTGTACCAGGCTTCTTGCTAACTGTTCTTATATCTTAAATTAATCTATTTCTATAAATCTATACCTTGCCACATGGCTTGTGGCTTACCAGCATCTTCATATGCTGTTTGTCATGGTGGCAGCTGGCAGTGTCTCTGACTCAGCCTTCCACTTCCCAGAATTCTTCTCCTCCTTGTCCTGCCTATACTTCCTCCTGCCTGACTACTGGACAATCAGTGTTTTATTTACTAACCAATCAGAGCAACACATTTGCCATACAGAACATCCCAGAGCAGAATTAACACATGGGTAGCCTTTAATCCCAGCACTCAGGAGGCAAAGGCAGACAGATTTCTGAGTTCAAGCCAGCCTGGTCTACAGAGTGAGTTCTAGGACAGCCAGAGCTACAAACATAAACCTTGTCTTTAAAAAAAAAAATACCAAATCAAAATCAAAATCAAAACCAAAAACCAAGAAACAAAAAACAAAAACAAGTGGGTAAACGGATGTAGGCTCCTGTGTACTTCCACTGTCAGTCTGTCCATCTCTCGCTGTGCTTATGAGACTTTTTGTTCATTGTTTTCAAGGATGCTCTGCATTTATGTTAAATAAATATTTAGTATCTAATCTAAGTAAGCAACCTTAAAATTAATTTCCGGTTAAATTTAACTCTAATACCCCATGCATCATGCACTGGAGAATCTTGACTGAACTGCTCTGAGAAGACAAAGATTCAGGCTAGCTGAGGGCGAGGCCAAGCCATTTAACTTGTTCCACTGGAGTTTCCTCTGAACAGAAGCACTGGCCACTTTGCTGGCAGCCACGCTTCTTCTCTTAACAAATGCTGGATAATCAGAGAGCAAGTGGTCATCTTGTACGTCACACAAACGTGGAAGTGGTTTCCCCCACCTTGGCAGTGGGGCAGTTTGAAGACAGGTGTTCCTGACTGAGCTCTGCCCGTCTCCTCTCTGCCTGCCTCCCCCATTCCCCCAGCTACACTTTATCTAGCTCTCCCCATTCTTCCCCCGACTTCAAAGATCCTTGCTTTTTCCTAATGGATAGTGTGGGTTACAAATCTCTTCACTTTTGCATGCCATAGCTCCCTAACTTTATGGGGGCACATTCATTATTTATCACTAGTAGTTTGTTTTATTACCT